AATATGACAAGTATACATGTAACAGTAATTGTGTGTTTGCTTACTGTGAAGCCTTTAGTTCTACATATGCTTGTTGTATTTCTAATAAAATCTGAAAAATGTGTCATATGACATGTTGTTGCATCTCATATTGTAGAAATTCTTTATTTCTTATCATGATGATATCTATTTACAGGCACTCATCTGTCTGATGATCAACTGTCAGATGGTACTCCCAAACTCCGTCCAAGCAAAAGTCATGGTCATTATCAATCAACGGGGAATGGCCCTAAAGGTGTGTATGTATGCATGCATATATAATGGCATATAATAATGACAAAAATTGTGTTTTGTTTAAAAAACGAATAAAATAAAAAGTCAACCATGGAATTTCTGGAATAGAATACTCTTAAAGCAAACAGTTTTTGTAATTAAAATATTCAATATCAGGAGAGAGAACATTATTGGTAGCAAATCAAATTAAACATTCTACTTATTTTTCTACTCAGTTTCAGGAGGCTTGATAATATTAGTTTTACTATCAACCCTCCTGATGAGTGGATTCATCTATGTGAAACTCAGTTAGGGCCAGATAAGTTACAAATTTTATATTTTTTTTTTATATAAGGTCATTTACCACTGGATCTTTTTTGTTTTTAATGAAAACATCTTCAGAGAATATAAATACATTGGGGAAAAAAGACAAATTTCTTCCTAGGTTAAAATATAAACAAAAATATTAGGCTGATAGAAAAGTTTCCAGCATTTTTGGGAGAAACCACATTTCTTCCTCAAAATTTATAGTATATTTATTTATTCAGTCAACAATGTACTTTATCCAGCTTGACATCACCTTCCATCTAAATGGTGTATTCCATCATAAAAGAACAATCCCTGTTTTAATACAGTGTATCCTTCAAGAAATTTTCCTTGTCATAAACATTGTCCGGGCAATAAGTGTTGCATGGAGCAAAACAAGAATACTCTGATTACGGAACTTTCCATTGCAGCTACATGATCATTTACTTGAACATGTTTGCAGAATAAAGGTTGGAGCTCTTATGCAGCAAACTCATTTCCTGGCTTAGAAAAAAAAATTCTTTTCTCTTTCAGTGCATCCTTCAAATGAGCCAATTTCTCACTGCTATGATATGGCAGTGAGCAATTGGGTATGATGATAAATTACATCTGGCAGTAAAGCCTCTGATCAGAAGATTATAGATTTTGGGATGCATATAACCGCATTTTGTCCAGGTTCCCACAATTTAGGATATTGAATTTCTTTTGATTGTTGGTTGGTTTTGTTAGGCAGCATATCAACCTCTATGGGTTATTTTAATGCTGAAATGTAAATATTTTTGACACAATTTTATGATTTCAGCTAAATACATTTTGAATGCAATTGCATGCCTGTGACTACAGATAAAATGTATTGTTTAAGTTTTGCTTTAAATAGGTATTGTTGGTAATTTTACTATAAAAATGTATTTTTATACTTTCATAGTGTTTTGTTTTTGGTTGGTGGTTCATTATTTGTCCATAGCTGGGACCCTAGCAGGTGCTACTACCGTGGGTCACAGTGGACCCGAGAACAACAGCAATTAAGAGGCGGTTATATGCATCCCAAAATCTATAATCTTCTGATCAGAGGCTTTACTGCCAGATGTAATTTATCATCATACCCAGGACTGAATTTCTTTTAAATTCAATAATGAATTTCAATTAGAATAATTTGAAGACACCTTGTCTTGCATGAATATACCCTTTAGCTTAAAGCGTCATACTTCTAACCTGTACCATTCAAAATACATCTTGTTCAAGATTATAAAATGATTCTTTGCATTTCTCTTAAACCATCAATTTTGAAGGGAGGCCATAATTTTTCTATATATAATACTCACCCCAGACCTTACTCCTCCTCCCACATGTTGGTTGAATATTTCCATAAAGGTGTCAACTTCCAGCACAGTCATCAGTTCCATCTGCTATAGCTCTATGTTTAGGATTAAAATTATTGTTGAGAAATCCTTTTCTTTGCCCAATTCACACATTTCTCTTTGTGATGTTTGGTTGCTTTCATGTCTTCAGCCAATGTTCTTAACATTCCATTTATATTTGCAACATAAGCTTCTTCAAATATTTTCTTGCTAGTCATGCCACTTTTTAAAAAAATTTTTTTTTTTATTTTTATTGTTCTCTGATAGCTGAAAAAAGTGATCAATCTTGTATTCCCATCACTTAACTTTTAAAATATCTTGTTTCTTTTTTGCAAACTCTCTACTTTAAATGGTTCTTGAGCCTTGTATTGGGTGAACAGTAAGAAAAAAAATTTTCTTATAACACATAGTAGTCTTTATATATCTGAAATTAACAAATAACTATAACTATATGTTATTATATATATAAAATTACAACTCGAAAAAATGAGAATTTAATGTATTTTTAGGTCAGCAGAACTTCTGCCAAAAAGTACTCAATAGATAACTAGACTTATAATATTCAATAAATCAATGGATTTGTCTGATTGACGCCTTCCAGTTTCATGTTCAACATCTGGCCTTGACAAGCTTTTCAACATGAAACTCTGAAGCTGGCTAATCCATTGAACTTTTGTTGGTTTATTGAATATGTATATATTATTTCTAGAGAATTAATGGATTCACTTTTAATTTGGCATTTTTATTACTTTAAACATTAAACTGACCAGTCACAGAGTGCATCGCAGTGTAGCAAAGTTCTATTTTCCATTTTAAAGAATGCACATTCCCTTTCTCAGATTTTTCTCAAAAGACCATACTTCCGAGTTTCATATCCAAAAAATAAAGAATTTTTATTACTTCAAATCTTATTTTTAGTGGATACCTGTGTTTGAAATAGATGCCCCATTTTTATTTTAAGCAGTGTGTATTATGTCTAGCATCCATTTATTTATCAGATCATTTATTTACAAAAATATTTTTTTTATTTACATTATAATACAATTGTATTAAAACTAATGCAATGCAATATTTATTATTTACCAATTTATAAAGAAATATAAAAACAATTTTTTACTGATAAATTTATAAACATTTAGTAAATTATTAAAATATGTGAACCAGCTATAAGGAAATCCCCATTATTTACCATTTTATGAAGTTGGCTAATTGCCAATCATTCCAATAAACAATATAATAAATAGTGTAAATAAACAATTTAATAGTCTTTATTATTTTGTTGTCAATTCTCAAGAACAAAGAAAATGTGAAAATTCACTTTCATATGTTAAGGTTTTATTAAAATTCCAATCATTGCTTTTTAAAACAATAAAGATTGCCAAGGAGTGAAGGTAGTTAAAATAATAGCGGTGTCAAAGGAAAAACTGTCCTTTTGACACACTTTTTTTTTTTTCTTTTTTTTCTTTTTTTTGTGGGCATGAAGTTTAAAGATAGTCAGTTTGTGAATATAGGTAGCATATTAAGTGTGTATTCAATCCCTGGACCAGATAGTACAGACTCTGTGTAAACAAGAAAGGCCAAAAAAAAAAAAGACCGTGAGATATCCCTAAACATAGACAGCTGAATGCAGGCAATCTATTCCTGTAGATTAAATAAAGAGTTTAGTTTGAAATTCACAGGCATCTGAAGAAGGCTGCAACCAAAATATTAAGATAATAACAATGGAGATAAAGATATTCATCCAACTGTAATTAATATAAATAATTAATAAGAACAATAATTTATTTCCAGTGATACACTGACACAAAAGATAAGTATTTTTTTCTGTATTCAACTTTCTTTGCCCAGCTTTCTTTGCAAGATATAATTTTATTACTTGTCTCTCTGAAGTCATAAAATAAAGTAGCTTTGCTTTTGGTGTTAATATTGGCCACAATAAAAATCATGATCATTTGTTATAATATTAGTGAATTGTTGTTCCCTATGAATCTGAATCTTGTGAAGAAAAGTTTTCTCACTCAGATTTCTCCACTTAATTTTTTTTTTCCATTTTGTATTTTTATATATAGACCCAGTGGAGTAACAGATAGTGGCTCTAATTGAGAAATTGGAGAACAGTTTGAATTCCAGTCAAATTCATTGCATTCACTTATGTGCTTATTACATTCACTTATACCTTAAGAATGGTATGAATCCATCTCGTCTCCCCTCAATTATAGGTAAATAGCAAGACAGACTGAGTCCTATAGCCTTGGTTGGTGACTAGTCTAGGAGAAGAAAAACTCTGAATACAAACTATCCTAGAGAGGGTTGGTTTATCTTGCCCAGGAAACACTGGCTGCAATACATATGGTGCTTCTATGACCTGAATGGGTTACAGGAATTGTGATTTTTATATCCTTAAGGACAACAAAAGATTCACAGTTAGCACATATGGAGAGAGAAGGGAGATCACCGCCCTCTGTGGGTTCAGGTTGAGATCATAGACAAAGAACACCATTGGAAAATTTGTAAACTTAAGAAATCGGTACATATCCTAGGCCACAAAAATCTCCTGAGCCAACCAAGCATAGAAATGAATACAATATGGGAACCAGTAATAAGGAATGCCAGGGAAAAGTGATAATAACAGCAAAAATTGCAATATGAGCACTGGTAAAAAATGGTTGCTGAAGATATTACGCTTATAATACCCAGAAATTCATACACAAATGTTCTCAAAGACACATGGCACTGTGGATAAATCCAGTGACAGGACCCAAAGAGCGTGAGTTCAATACCCAGTTAAGGCAATGGAGAACTTTCAGAGGGAAATTAACAGGAGATAACTGATAAATGACATCCATTAAACATGGCATGTGGAACTAGAACAGTCTACCCCAGTGAGCGAAATAAAGGGTTCAGTTTGACATTCCAACCATCTGAAGAAGGCCGGAGTGTACAACGGCTGAAACATTGTAATAAATATGGCAACAAAGATGAGGACAATAGTGGTTTAGCAATTCAGTTAACTGTAAAAATTAAAGAATTATATTTGAAGGTATTAATTAAAAATTTTAATTATTTTTTTATTTTTTTTTGTAGGAGCTTCCCATCAACTTACAGGAACCAATCCAAAAGTATATGGCAGTCAATCACCAACTCAGAAGGCTGGTATCCAAAAACAACCTTCGACTGGCCTGCATACTGAAAGCAAGATGCATACTGCAGATGACCAAGAATCCCAGTTAGCCAACACAGAAAACACGAAAGCTAAACAAGAACACAAAGAGAACTCTGCAGGAAGTGAGGATCAGAATGGCACTGCAGTTACAATTGATGGCCACAGAGGCAGTACTGCTGCTCCAACTGCTACTGGCACTGTATCTAGTTTACAGAATATGACATCTCCTCAGACAGAGACCGGCTTGGCAAAATTCCTACAACAGTCAAATTACATCCTAAAAGAAAAGGTTGTGGTTGCCAGCCCCACTGACAATGCGCAGGGCCCCATTGTGGCTCTTGCCCTTGGGCTTTCCTTCACGACCATGCTGCTGATTTTTGTGGGCTGCCGCCTGCGTAGGGTCAAGCGTAGGCTTCGAAAAGGACGGGCGCTCCACTCGAACGAGGCAGACTATCTCATCAACGGCATGTACTTGTAGGACCCAACAACAGGCAGGAGGTTCACCTCCAGCCTCTAACTCTGACCACACACACACACACACACACACACACACATAAATTTGGATGTTGTGACTCTTTTTGTAGTCATGTTGGTATAATCATGATTAAGATGACCTTAAGCCTTTGACCAGATATCTAGACTTTGGACAAGGCTTTTGCAACACGCACTACATTCATATACTTATGAAATTTGCAATAGCCAAAAACAAAATATTTACACACATTCACACACTTACAAGGGTGATTGTTATAGTTCTAACACTATCAGTCACCAGTCTTATTGGTACGATAGTAAAATGAACAGTCACGCAAGTCTTTCCATGCCCTAGGCCCATAACGGGCAATACATACATATCTAGATACTTACATCTTTCCTTCACTCTATCTTTATATATATATATATATATATATATATATATATATATAGTTGCATTGCTGCATTGCAGTGAGGTCTTCTACCTTTTATACTTTTTCAACACTAAATTGCTGTATGATATTCATTTTTCTGTCAATTGTAGGTTCAGTTGTCTGTATGCATATGTGTGTTGATTGGTCAGTCTGTATATTAATGAATCTTGTGTGGGTATAAATAAGATTGTATGAATGCATGGATATCTTGTCTAGAAAAAAGTTAACTTTTAGGAGAGACTCCTCTTCCTCATTTTTTGTTTCTCATCTCCTTGGTCTTCCTCTTCTCACTTTATTCTCTTTTTTTTTTCTTCTTCTTCTTTCCTCTTCTCACTTTATTCTCTCTTTTTTTTCTTCTTCTTCTTTCCTCTTCTCACTTTATTCTCTCTTTTTTTTCTTCTTCTTCTTTCCTCTTCTCACTTTATTCTCTTACTTTCTCTATACAACAAACTCGATATTTCTGTTTTTCCTTTATATTTTCACTTGCTTTATTTTTCTCTTTTTATTTATTTATTATCCCCTCTTGTTTATTTGTTACTCCTCCACTCTCTTTATTCCTCTCTTATCGCTATCATCTTTCTTCCATATCTCTCTCTCTCAGTTACATTATATCTTTTTTTTCTCTCTTGTTTCAATTTTTCCTCTTTCCCCTATTCTTTCACTCTCTCTCTCTCTCTCCCCCCACTCACTTTCTCTCCTCATTACTTTTCCACCATTCTCAGTACTGCATAATTTATATCAAATTTACTTTTGTCAATTTCTCTCTGTGCTCTCAATATGCTACTCACTAATGAATTGTTATTCTGGAGGCAGACCGCACAAGCTACTTCTGCTTCCTACTGCAGTACCTACTTACCTATCTACATTTTACTTTTGTATTTGGTGTCTACAAAGAGAGACTATAGCTTTCTCTTTCATTCCCCAATCATGTTTCCTGCTGCATGTTATTTCGTCTAACAAAAATCCAAAATCTTTAATGAAAGATCTTTGAAAAAAAAGCTGCAATTATAGCTTTTAAACTCTTTCTTTTTTTTCCTTTTCTTTTTTTTTTCCTTTTCTTTTTTTTTTCCTTTTCTTTTTTTTTTCCTTTTCTTTTTTTTTTTTTTTTTCTTTTTTTTTTTTTTTTTTTTTTTTCCTTTTTTTTTTTTCCTTTTCTTTTTTTTTTTCCTTTTCTTTTTTTTTTTTCCTTTTTGTTTTTATGAAAAATTAATTTCTGTTGAGAATGAGATCTTGTTAGCAAGGACATCATCAAGGATTCCATAACACAAAGAATTTCTCACTGACATTCCAAGCTGGTTATTTCACAGCTGTTTTTTGTTTTTTTTTTTGTTTTTTTTTTTATCTTTTTTTTAAAGAAACAATGTAACTGCAGATGATGACAAAAATAAATCTTGGACACAATAAACCAAGCTTAGCGAGCTATGTTAAAAAGAAGCTATAATTATTGCTGTTGAATTTTCTTAGCAAGGATGTATTTGAGAATAATAGTGAGCAAATAAATTGACAAAGGTGGCATTTCAATGATGTTCAAATAAAAAACAACAGGTACAATAAATGGATTTTTTTAGGACTTCAGTAAGCCCAAATCAGAGGCAGAATGTCAAAAACTTAAAGTGAAAGGAACATGAAATTATATATTATTTGAAAGTGCTCTAAAAGAAAAAAACAAAACAACTTATTCCTAAACATACATATATATATATATATATATATATATATATATATATATATATATATAACAATTTTGATGAGAATGATACATGACTGTCAGCATTTATTTAAAAAATTCCAAATAATTAAGTTCATGAAATTTCATGCTTACAATTTCTTGCAATAAAAATAATGTCATAAAAAAACATAGTAATTATTTTGATAAAACATTTAGCCAGACTCTATATGAATGGCTGATGATTAAGGATTTTTTTCAAAGAATACCTGCTATTTTTTTTATTTATTTTTTTTTTTCATTTTTAAACTCTAAGTGATCAGGATCAGTCATTCCATGGTACAGTTGCCTATTAATATTAAAACAATCTGAATTTTAATATTGGTCTGTCAGCAAAAATTAAAAGTCGGTGAAGATCTTGATGTTTTAGTGTAAAGATTATATCCAGTACAATCTGGTTTGTGACGAATTCTTACTCTTCCGTGCCTAAGTTGAGGGGCATGAGGGTAGAGATTTTTTGAATTCTTAGTTTGGTAGTGGTTAAAATAATTTGGTACTTCTATTTTAACACCCAAGTTGAGTGTGTCTGCATGAAGTATAAAATAGAAGTATCATAATAAGTGGATATAGATTGTTTAAAAAAGGTTGACAAACAAATCCTGCCTCTCCCCTCCCCACTGTGAAGCACAGGAATGTATGCAAGGAAACCTTGATTTATCTTTATAAAGAGAAATTAGCTTTATCAGGAGGTTGTGTGTGTGTGTGTATGTATGTATGTATATATATATATATATATATATATATATATATATATATATATATATATACATACATACACACACACACACAAAAAAAAAAAGTAAAAAGGTTTGTCACTTAGCTCATAGGTGGACACATCTGTCCACTCATCAGGGATTATCAGCAATTGACTGCTTATACTTCTCGATTTTTCTTTTTTATATGCACTTATATATAAAATTTGTGCCAATCATATATATATATATATATATATATTAGTGCTTTAGACTGTTCAGCTACAGAGAATGTTACGTCCCACCAAGCTTCAATTACCCTTTTAAAGTGATTAATTTTATTTTTAATCCAACATTACTCTAAATGTTGCATATGTGCAAAAATAACATTTAAAATAATCAGAAATAATGTCTGATTAAAAAGAAAATCTACCAATTCCTTAGAGATTACTTCGTTTACATCCTGGTTATGAAAGTAAAAAAAAAAAAGAATTTTTTTAAAAATAGTCAGCAGATATGCACTTTTGAGAAGATGATATGCCCTTTTTAAAAAGGGTAATTGAATCTTGCTCACACACACACACACATACACTTTTAGAAGTGACCTGACTTACTTTACAAAATATTCTTTCTACAATAGAATCTTAATTCCTATGGTAGATAAATAAAATCTGATAATAGCAAACCGTGTCCTAGTTATGTCAAAATATATTTGCTATACATATATATAATCTATAATCTTATTAGTATACTTATATACTTGAAGCCCATGGTATGACAGAGTGGATGCAACTCTCTCCTCAAATATATTTAGAGCAAACAAACTATAAAAATTAAATGAATTAAGCAAAAATATATACTTCAGTAATCAATGGATTAAATTCTTTTTATTAATTTGTTTTCCCTCTCTGGATTAGATGGCTTTGGAGGTATTTAAATTATTTTTTTATATTTTCAAATTATTAAGGTGTTCTATGTCTGTCTATTTTTATTTCTATTTATACCTTTTGAAATATTTTTGCAAAGCATTTTTAGTTTAATAAGTTTTTAACATGAAAGTTTTGATGATTTAGTCAACTGTGTTTAGCAAATCCATGGGTGATGAGGTCCTGTATTTTCTAGGTATTGATCTCCTAAAGACGCTGATATGTTAATCAAGTATTGTGGCTAATAAGTCCTGACTTATTATGATTTATAAATAAATAAAATTATTTAAGAATGTACAAACATCTTATCTCTTTCTCTCCCAAAAAATATTAAAAAAATTAAATAAAAATTTATCACTTATAAAATAGTGATATTTTGAATTCACACATGATTAGCTTTCTGTTGGGAGAGAGCAAAAAAGTTTTCTTAGATTTATCTCCCTTTGAAAGAATCGTTGCAAGATAAAAAAAAAAATATATAAAATTCAACTTCAAATTCAGACGTATTTTATCTTACTTTTTATTCTGCTTTTTACTGTTATCATTCCTATCTCTGTCCCATAATTTTTGTTACATTTTTATGCATATTTCATACACTAAATGTAATAACTATTCTGGAACAGAGGCGGTAGTTTTAATTTTCAAATCTAAATGTTATTTTGTTATTTGTATAATCAACAGCATAGACAAGACGTAATCAAAGATTCATCGTTAGAAATCAGTAATCGTTTTTCTTTTTTTTCCACTTATTTTTATTGCTTTGATATTTTTGTTAAAAACAACTTAAAAAAATAATTGGCTATATCCCAGAAAGTCCCTCGATTTTTCTACATTAGTTGTAATAGCATATTGGGGTTTATCATGGATTAATTTAGTTTTTGATTTACAGTTTTATTAACCCTTCATTGCATATACATACACACATGCTCAGTGTGAAAAGAAACTAATTATTTGTATATAATATGCATTTTTCACCTTATTTTTAAGCTTAAAAGTTGGGCAGATGTATTATACATGAAGACTAAATAGTAATTTTTTCTCCAGTCACATCAGAGGGAGAAATAAAGGAGTTAAGTTCAAATTCCAGTCGAGTTTGTTATATTCACATGTGCAAAAAACCCTTGGGAAAGAACAACTCCACCTCTTCCTCCTATTCCAGCGAGGAGTTAAATAGTGGGACTTGTATCTGGAAAAAACATTATCTAGAAAAAAATTAATGCAATATTCTCTTGCAAAAAAAGAATTATTCTTGCAGTTCAAAATGTTTGGGCTTTAAATAACCTACAAAGGTTTGATAAGCTGTTAAAAAAAATCTCCAGCTACATACATTGCTGTATTTGGGATGATATGGTCAAAACAAAGCTATATCTATGGTCCATACTAAGAGTTTAAATCACTAACCAGATAGTACATTTAAAAAAAATTATTTGCTCATATAGATATATTAAGCATATTTTAATAAGCTTTACTGTTGTCCATATCAAAGCTCAACATCATCATAATTTCATCAATGTTGTTATTGTCTCATCACATGGCCCTTGTTTCTCTTAGTGGGAGCTAATTTTCAACACAAATTTGTTGCATTTCTGTGTGGACATTTTTGTTTGTACTTCAGAACATAACAAATTCTGAAAGATGCGATATACAGTTTCTATATCCAACTAAGAGTGGCTAATTGACAAAACTGGAAAAACAAACTTCTGCATTATATGTTTTGTTCCTCAAAAGGTCTTCAGACTAATAAGGGTTTTATCAAGGGAATTTCATATGTACTGGGGTTCAAAATACAACAGATGATGATTACAGTTCAACATTGAGATAAGCAAAAGATATAGGGGACGTTTAGCTTTAAATTTAAGTTTTTAAAGATTTTATATATTTTAAGGTATGATATATTTTAGACATCTGACCATAATCAGTTTTCTACTGCTTGTGTTTTTTATTTTTATCATTATTGTTTTTAAATATTCCACATTGTGATGTCAGTGGTTTTGTTAGGAAAGGAGATATGTTGTCTGATCCGTGACATAAATTTATTATAGAAGACTCTGAATTAGGTGTACTTTCAATGCTTCAGTTTGAATTACTCTCTTTTGGATGTAAACAATATAAATTTTTTATTTTTAGTTGATATAAACTGGATAGAATATTGAACAAATGTTAACTTTAACTGCTACAATTTTTTTTTTTCTTTTTTTTTTTTTCTGAATTTTGTGGCCCTAAGTTAAGAGTGCATATTATACACAAATAATTACAGTAACATTAAATATAGTGTAAATTAATCTATGAATTTAAAAGGAGACTTGTATCCCTAACTACATGAATAGATTTGATTTTAAGAGCGATTTAATGAGATTTTGTAGACTTAGTTTTATATTGGCAAATTCA